GTTTGCGCGCAGAACCTTCCAGCTTCGTGAGCTCGCGCAACCGGCTCCTGTCGCTTCTCCCCCTTTTTTCATCACCTGATGCGTGTGTGTGTGTGTGTGTGTGTGCCCTCCTTGACTAAATGTCAGGACCGGTGGAATGCGCCCTGCCTCACTGGCAGGACATTGAAACAAAACAATGAAAAGAAGGGAAAAAAAAACGAAAAAGAAAAGAAGTGAAGCTACCCTAAGGACATGACAGCTGGTAGATACATCATCAGGAGGGAGATCCCACTACCGATGTATGTGGATTAGTGTATAAGGTATGTGACTGTCAGGCATCGCGGATTTGGCAGGAAATCAGCGGTACCCTGTTTTTGTGAATTAAGAGCGGGAAAGGGATGTTTTTCTTTTGCTCTCCCATTGGTAGGTTTTTCTTTCATTTTTGTTGTGGGGGTCCTGTGGCGGTCCCAAACGTGCGTGAAATCAAGACAATTTTTTTGGTTCATGAAATCATGCACGTTTCATTCACAGCGAAGGCAAAGAAGAATGGCTTCATCGCTGGGAATTGATTGTCGTTTGGGAGGTGTTTGGGAAGGTTCTATCCCCTCACCCAGAGCAAATGGCATATGGAGTTACTCTTCTTCGCCTTTGCCAGAATTTCTGTCAGAACTGCGGAGCAGTGTGCACTGTTGCCCATTTCACGGAAGCCTCAGACTATTGTCAATGAATATGTTTTGCGTGCCCGCTCACATGCAGTTGTCTTGACTGCCACAGCCATGGTCAGTGAGTCATACCCTGACATCTGACACCCCGACTGGAGCAGACATCATCTGTGAGAAGAGCACTTTATTTTCCTTTTTAGCTTTTTTTTCTTCATTTGTTTGACAATGAAACGGTTTTTTGCCTTTATTTTCCCTATTTCACGCTGCCTCCCACCTGTCCGCCACCTGTCCCACACCCATCACACTCATCCATATACATGGTTAGTGGGATCTCCCTCCAGGAGCAGTTGTGTGTGTGTGCCCTCCGTCACTAAGTGTCAGGGCCCCTGGAATGCGCCCTGCCTCACTGGCAGGGCATTGAAACAAAACAATGAAAAATATATATATATATATATATATATATATATATATATATCATCACAAACAGAACTGCGCGGTAAACCGTAGGCATAGAGAGAGAAGAGGACAACAAACGAGGGGCTGTGACAAACTGTTTCGTCGGAGTTTCACCGACTCATCAGGAGGCTGAACCCTCAACAGTCTGCAGAATCCCCTCACTGATTACACTGTAAA